AGTCCACGTCTCACAGGCATAGAGCAGGGTTGGGAGGACAATAGCTTTATAGACAAGCCCCTTGGTCTCCCTGCGGATGTCCCGGTCCTCAAACACTCTCAGCTTCATTCAGAAAAATGCTGCACTTGCAGAGCTCAGGCGGTGTTGTATTTCGGCGTCGATGTTGACTTTGGTGGAGAGGTGGCTGCCAAGGGAGCGGAAATGGTCAACATTTTCTGATGCTACACCATTAAGCTGTATCTCTGGCATTGGAGAGGGGACGGCTGGTGCCTGCTGGAAGAGCACTTTGGTTTTCTTGATGTTAAATGACAGGCCGAGCTTCGTGTATGCTTCTGCGAAGGTGTTTAGAGTGGCTTGTAGATCTTTAAGTACTTTAGAACCATTTAGTACTTAGAACAATTAAGTACTTTAGAACCATTTAGAACCATGGATCACAAATATATAATTGAGGGGAGCTCAAAAAGAATAAACAGTGGGGTCGACTTTCAGTATAGGATGGAGGAAAGTGACATAAATAAATAAACAAACAAATAATCTCTTAAGTTCCTTTTGAATTCTGTTCCACTGGAAGCAGTGGGGCTATTGCTCTTGAGGTTTGGTGAGATCTTTTGCTCAAGTCCTAATGAATTTTTCCTGTTTTTTTTTTTTCCAGACAGGTACACAGCAATAAAAAGAAGAAAAATTAATATTGAAAACCGTACATCTGAGAATTTGAGGAAGTAAAGCAACATTGTGCTCTAAAAAGAATCATTCGGAAATTAAACCAGAGAAGCTACAGAAAAATAAAAAAGGAGTTCATATTTGTAAACTTCTGACATAATATTTGAATCGTAAAACAAAAGGAATGACATATGATTTATACCCCTATCCCGGGGCAGACACAAGGGAGAAGTTGTATAAATGTGTCGAATGTGGGAAAAGCTTCAATTGGAGAAGTTCTCTTACTATACATCTAAGGACCCACACGGGGGATAAGCCTCATAGATGCGTGGAATGTGGAAAGAGCTTCATTCGAAGGGGAGAGCTGCGTTCCCATCAACGGACCCACACAGGGGAGAAGCCATACGAATGCATGGAATGTGGAAAGAACTTCTCTCAAAGTGGAGCTCTGCGTTCCCATCAAAGGACCCACACAGGGGAGAAGCCATACGAATGCACAGAATGTGGAAAGAGCTTCATTCGCAGTGGACAGTTGCATTGCCATCAAAGGACCCACACAGGGGAGAAGCCATACGAGTGCGTAGAATGTGGAAAGAGCTTCCGGTGGAGTTCGGAATTTGCTAAACATCGACGAATTCACACGGCGGAGAAGTCATACAAATGCCTGGGATTTGGAATGAGCTTCAGCGATGGTGGATCATTAAATGAACATCAACAAACTGACACAGGGGAGATCCCATATAAATGTATGGGATGCGGAATGAGTTTCAGTGATAATAGTACATTTACTAAACACCGGAGCATTCACGCAGGAGAGAAGCCATATGAATGCATGGAATGTGGAAAGACCTTCTCGCAGACCGGACAGCTGCTTTGCCATCAAAGGACCCACACAGGGGAGAAGCCCTATAAATGTATAGAATGTGGAAAGACCTTCTCTCAGGCTGGGTCGCTGCATTCCCATCAAAGGACCCACACAGGGGAGAAGCCATATAAATGCATAGAATGCGGAAAGACCTTTGCTCAGGTTGGACATCTGCATTCCCATCGAAGGACCCACACAGGAGAGAAGCCCTATAAATGCGTGGAATGTGGAAAGAGCTTCAGTCAAAGTAGCCATCTGCATTACCACCAAAGGACCCACACAAAGGAGATGCCGTATGAATGCGGAGAATGTGGAATGAGCTTCAGTGAAGGTGGAACATGCAGAAGACATCAAAGAATCCATACAGGGGAGAAACCATACAAATGCATCGAATGTGGGAAAAGTTTCAGTCGGAGCACACATCTGCGTTACCATCAAAGAGTCCACACAGGGGAGATGCCATATAAATGCTTGGAATGTGGAATGGGCTTCAATGGTGAGAGATCGTTGACTAAACATCAAAGAATTCACACAGGGGAGATGCCATATAAATGCACAGAATGTGGAGTTAGCTTCAGTGACAGTGGAACGTGCAGGAAACATCAAAGAACCCACACAGGGGAGAAGCCATATAAATGCATCGAATGTGGGAGGAGCTTCAGTCGGAGCGCACATCTGCGTTCCCATCTAAGGGTCCACACCGGGGAGGTGCCATATAAATGCATGGAATGTGGAATGAGCTTCAGTAGCGGTAGATCATTAAGTAAACATCAAATAATCCATGGAAGGGAGATGCCATATAAATGCATAGAATGTGGAACGAGTTTCAGTAACGGAAGATCATTAACTAATCACCAAAGAATTCACACAGGGGAGAAGCCTTATAAATGTATGGAATGTGGGGAGAGCTTCAGGAATGCTTCAACGTGTGCCAGGCATAAAAGAATACACACGGGGAAGAAGCATTTCCAAAGGGTCTCAAAATGAAGCTGTATGTCTTCTCAGCTAAGTGGGAAGTCTTTGAGACTGTTTCATCACTATCTGTAGCAACATAGAATCATACAGTTGGAAGATGTTACGATAAGTCCTTGCAGGACCAAGTATATGTGTATTGAAGAAAAACCTTATTGTGTGTAATTATCATGAGCAGCTGGCAAAGTAGGTCAACCCGCAATCTTGAACCACACCCCAGGGGCTATATCTGTTTGAGTTTTCTTGAATACGTTCTGGAGTACCAGCATGGAGTTCCATCAGGAGATCCTGAAGGAGAGCTTCTGGAGAGCCTTTTCTGTGATGGCGCGAGTGGCGCCACCTATATATAGAATTGTAAGTTGCAGGTTTTGAACTGTTGTATCATGCCTGATTTTGCCTTTTTACCCTGTAAATGTATAGTTGGATTGATTGGTTATTTATAGCTGTTGTTTGCACCAGTTATATTGCTTCCTCAGCTCAATTGTTTGACCCCACCTCTTCCTGGAGCAGGACAGTGTTTCCTTTTTCATTCCACCATCAAACTTTCTATCAGATGGACGTGAGAGAGAGATTTGGCTCTAAAAGCCCTTGATTAAGTTACCTCTCAGCACCAATTCTAAGGTTCTTTCCCTTGAGACTTATGCTTCATGTTCAGATCAATCTGGATGACGTTGAGAAGTCTCAAGAGCCTTCAAACCAGTTCTTTGGCACCAGAGGAAGACTTTGTGTCTCCAAACATAGGCCATTTGGACTGGGGTTGTGATTATTCTGATATTCACAGTCATTGAGAAAGAGGGGCCTGGAAAAGCTTCTCAGCTGCAAAACTCCTTGGACCCAAGTCAACCAGAGACTGTAATGTATACTTTCCTTTACCGCTTTGAAACTTCCAGCTTATTGCCTTAAAGGGATAACTCTTTGTGAACAATAAAACCTATTTTGAGTTATCTACAGTGTTTTGGTCCTTGGGAGTTCCAGTTTCCCTAAAGGAGGGCAAGAAGCAATCCCCTGGGGAAAGATGTCACGTCCATGCCTCTTTCACTAAGAGTTATAGCCCCCAGGCCTGACGGCACATTTTCTCTGAGGAGACCCATGGACAAAGGCTTTGCTCTGGGGAGCAGTTTGGAGAAGCTACTCTGAAGGAGGCTATGGTGAAATAGCATTTACTTCAAGGTTTATTTTGATCTCTCATTTGTTGTAAGATGAAGACACCTTATTTTGTGTTTCTTACAAAGACTGTGTAAAGTTTGTTGCACTGCTTGTTTTTGTATGCAACATTGCCAGTTTATGTTTTCATCTCTGCTGAGTAAAGAGTAAAGATTTTTCTGTTCACTTTTACTCCAGTCTGCGAGTCTTTTGCATTTGGGTTTTGGACGCTGGGCAAAACACGTCGCTGCGTAACAGAAGAGACATCATGGGCCATCTAGTCCAACCCCATTCTGCTAAGAAGCAGGGAAATCACATTCAAAGCACTCCCGGCAGATGGCCATCCAGCCATCGAAAGGCTTCTCTGTGTGAACTGAACTAGAGGTCCCCTTTTTCCCTCCTAAACCCAGAAAAAGGGGCGGAACTAAAGAACATAATGATGATTGATGGGCCATTGGCCCTATGATTGCAAACCAAGGGAAGCCACCTTATTGCAAAATGCATGGAACATTGGAATACATGCAAACACTCAATAGAAAGGAAAAGAAGTTGGAGCTCCTGGTACAGCCATACCAGCACAGGTAGCATTTAGAATAGGAGAGCATAGAGGAAACTCCTGTATCTGGTTTTTCCCGTAGTTTTCTTCACAGTTGTATAGCAAATATTATATCTGTGAACCAGGACTGTGGCACGGTTAGCTGGGAGTTAGCTGCATTAAGATCACTACTGACCGAAAGGTCATGAGTTTGAAGCTAGCCCAGGTCGGGGTGAGCTTCCAACCAATTTGTGTAGCTTGCTGTTGACCTTTGCAGCCCAAAAGACGGTTGCATCTGTCAAGTAGGAAATTTAGGTATCGCTTATGTAGAGGGGCTAATTTATGATGCCATAAAAATCTCCAGCAAGCATGCAAAGAATGGGGAAGTACTCCATCAGTGCCACAAATGGACGGTGAAGCAACAGCTCCCTCGGTGGCCAAAATAAAAAAGCTGGAATGTTAAATAGCCTCTGTGTTTCTGTCTACATATGTTGTGTGTCTATGGCATTGAATGTTTGCCATGTATGTGTACATTGTAATCTGCCCTGAGTCCCCTGAGGGATAAGAAGAGCGGAAAATAAATACTGTAAATAAATAAATAAATAAATAATATCTTTTCACAAAACTCACTGCCTAGGAGTGAGGTGGAGGGTCCTCTTTCAAGGCTTTTAAACAGCAGGTGGATAGTAATCTGTTGGGAGTGCTTTGATGGTGCTTTTCCTGCATGGCAGAAAAGATTGGACTGAATGACTCTTGTGGTCTCTTCCCAACTCTGATTCCATGTTGCTTCCCCTCCTTTTGCCCTTGGCCTTCTCTACTGATCCCATTCCTTGAGTAGGAGACATATCTACTCTAGAGTTGTATCTCTTCCAAAATTACTACTCTTAAGACCTAACTGTTGTATCTGGAGACTTTTGAGGAGCGATGTCTTCCTGCTTCATAGAACCCTAGAGTTGGAAGAGACCTCGTGGGGCATCCAGTCCAACCCCATTCTGCCAAGAAGCAGGACAAGCGCATTCAAAGCATCCCCGACAGATGGCCATCCAGCCTCTGTTTCAAAGCCTCCACCACACTCCCGAGGCAGAGAGTTCCAATGCTGAACAGCTCTCACAGCCAGGAAGTTAAAACTTGCTTTAAGCCCCTTAGACCGAGCCCTTATCTTGTTTGGTAAGACTGACTTCTTTCTCTGAGCATCATTGCAGGTTTGTCCATTTCTGTCAATTCGAAAACCATTATGATCCACTCGTGTGTTGCTAATATTTCTGCCTTTCTATAGATTTGAGCATATATGTGTGTGTGTGTGTGTGT